GCTGCGAGCTGGTGGTCCCTGAGCAGCCTCCCAGCAGGGAAAAACCCTTCAGGTGCTTGGAATGTGGGAAGAACTTCAGGACGAGCACCATCCTCCTCAAGCACCAGCACATCCACAGTGGGGAACGGCCCTACACGTGTGGGGAGTGTGGGAAGAGCTTCAGGGACCGCTCCACCCTGCACCGCCACCAGATGATCCACACTGGAGAAAGGCCCTACGAATGCTTGGAATGTGGGAAGAGCTTCAGGGACAGCTCCACTCTCCTCACCCACCAGCACATCCACACTGGGGAACGGCCCTACACATGTAGGGAATGTGGGAAGAGCTTCAGGAGCAGATCTGCTCTCAGCACCCACCGTCGCATCCACACCAGGGAGAGGCCCCACAAGTGTGGGGACTGTGGGAAGAGCTTCACCCACAGCTCTGTCTTGACCTCCCACCAACGGATCCACCAGTAATGGAAGCCCCAAGTGCCCCAACTGCAGGAAGAGCTTCGGCCGCTGCTCCAACTCCATCAGCCATCGGAGGACCCGCGTTGGATGATCCACAGGGAGCCCTGTTGGGCACAGACCTGGTGACCAACATTCCTGGTGACCCCTGTTTAGCAGAGACCTGGTGCTGGAATAGAGTTCAAACCTGGAAGAAGAATAAGGACTGGCACATCTGATGAGAAAGAGAAGACTCCAGTTCCCAGATAACATGAAGGTCCTGATGGTCTCTGCAAAGAAAAACCCTGATAGACACCTGGTGTGAAAGGATGTACTGAGGAATGGGGCCAGTGAAGGTCCCACAGCCTTTCTTCACAACCATCCTGCAGAGTGGGAATAGGGAACCTTTTTGACCTCTTTGATTTATCTGTCAAGAAAGAATAGATGCCTGTCACGCTACCCCAAATTTAGCTTTGTGACTAAAGTAACTCAAAAGTCCACCCAAACCTGGAAAATAGTCTAAAAAGAAGTCAAGGCTAAGGAGAAATGGAAGGAAGATTTGCGCTGAAACTGCTGGATGGGCCGAGGGGCTGATCCTGCCTTCCCTTCCCCTTTCAGGTGGCTCATTGGGTGAGAAATTTAAAGTTCTGCACGCTGATTCCTTGCTTTTACAGAACTAGAGTTTGCTTTCCCTTCCCAGTGTTTTAGTAGATTGCTGGTTTGGTTTAGAGTTTGTGTTTTGGTTGCTTTGTGGTGTTCTTGCTGTGTTTGAAGTGTGTTTTTGTAGCCAGAGCCTCTCAGCAAGGCCTACGAGCTTTTCTGAACTCGTCAGGGTTTGTGTTGATCAAGAGTGTTATTGCGTGAGCTGCTGCAGGGATTCCTTTGTAAAGGTGCTGCCAGTTTGTGTGCAGTGGAATAAGTGGTGGGAGATTGTGCTGAGGGAGTTTCCCTGTCCCTGGGAAGTGGCAGTGCCCGAAAAGGGTGATGGAATCCCCTGCCCTTGTGAATGTGTTTGGGGCAGAGTTGGTGTGGGAACAGCCGAGAGCCCAGACTGGACTGATATGGTTTTGGCTTCCCTGGGGCACTAAGAGACAAATAGACCTTTGAAGAGTGGGGTAAATGTGCCCTGACCCTCTGTTTTATGTGACCCCCCCCCGTGCTGAATCCCCCCTTAAAGGGGTGGTCGAGGTACATCATGAAATGCCATCATTAAAGCCTGGGGGACAAACGTGGTTCAGTCACCCCTCTAGAATTGCTCTAAATTTCAACTGTTGGCACAATGCAAGGCTGAGATTGGATCCAGCAGCCCCCAGCACCCTGAGGAAGTTGGGAGCTCAGGGGGACCACCCCCCTTTCCCAACCCCCCAGTGCCCAAAGACCCCCATGGGACTGTCCATCCCTCCAGACCAGCCCCCTTTTCCACCCCTCTCCCTGTTCCTCCCACTTTTCCATGGTCCCCTCAATCCCCAGCCACCCCAAATCAGTTCTGGGGTCTCAACCCCCACTTTTCCCCCCTCTCCCACCCCTTACACATTATTCCCCCAATCCCCATGTAGCAGTACGTTCAGATACATGTCTGGAATAAAGACAAGTGCCAAAAAATACTCAAGCACACAAAATATCTTTTATTACAGTGAGAATAATAATACTAGTAATAAACTTAACAAGAGGGATTAAAAACTAAAAAGAAAAAAGGATACAAAATAACTATCTTATCGGGTGGCATTAAAACAAATACTACGAACAGCATTTAATAAAGTATTAACTAGTGAAAAAGGGATACCAGAAAAGGATCTTAATACAATATTATGGATAACACGGTATTGGTTAGTAAAAAGGGAAACTAAAGGAAAAATACTATAAACATAAAAGGGGAATTAAAGGAACACTAAAAGGATATTAAAAAGTTTGTTCTCTCAGTTGCTTCCTGTCAATAAACTGTGCTGACCCCCACAGACAGGCCAGGGCTGTCAGGATCTGCAGCAGCTGGTCGGTACCCATGCTTAGCGGGCGTCCCCGCGGAGCAACACAGTCTCGGTGGTAGGATGAGTATCGCTCAACTCAGCAACTCCGACACCCCATTTTTATCAGTTCCACATTACACTACGTAGGGCCAGTACGCAGTATAAGGTGATGCCTGAATGGCAGCCAAACACCGCCTGATCATTACCTCATGGCAGCAGTCTGCGCATGCCCTACTTGTAGGGCAAGGGGCGAGCGACCCCTGCCCACATAATCTTCCTCCCATCATCATCTTTCTCACCCCTATGGATGACCTCTACCATTGTGTTTCAAGGGTAGATGTCTCTATCTTGCAATATGTAGCAAAACCAAGGAAGAACTCAGCTCTGATAATAGGGGATATCAGGCTGACTTGCTAAAAAGCACAATGGACCTTACAGTTACCTTGTGCCATGAAGTTACATTGTACCATACTCTAGCTGGTTTCACATCCTAATATGATTCCGTTCTCACGCCTCTATGCTCCATTGATCATCAAATTCAAAAGTACCCCCCTTACACTGTACCATACTCTGGCTGGTTTCACATCCTAATATGATTCCTTTCTCACGCCTCTATGCTCCATTGATCATCTAATTCAAAAGTACCCCCCTTACATTTGTTTAAATGTAAAATGAACCAAGGACAATTTTTGAGAGCTTTGCATTTAGATTTCATTAGTCTGAAGTAGTAAAATAAATGGTCTTGTGTGTATTTGTCTATATAGAATCATGGACTGGTTTGGGTTGGAAGGGACCTTAAAGGTCTTCTCATTCCACCCCCTGCCATGAGCAGGGACACCTTCCACTAGAGCAGGTTGATCCAGCCTGTCCTTGGACACTTGCAGGGATCCAGGGGCAGCCACAGCTTCTCTAGGAATTCCATCCCTGCCCGTCCCCACCCTCCCAAGGAAGGATTTCTTCCCAGTCTCCCATCTAACCCTGCTCTCTTTTAGTTGAAAAACCATTGCCCCTTGTCCTGTCCCTCCAGGCCCATATCAAAAGTCCCTCTCCCTCCTTTTTAGAAGCCCCCTTCCCTGGTGGGGTGTCTTCAGCTCCTCCCACGACCTGTGTGTGTCTGTATCTATCTTGTATCTGTCTATATTTATAGACAGGATATATTTTAATACATTTCTATCCATATATTTATACCTCGATATTTACACACTGTAAATATTAATGCACACCTGTCTACACAATGATGATAACTTTGTGTCCAGACCTACCCCTTCCATTCTGTAACCTTTTTGGGGGGTTTATTCCTCGGGATTTCCAGGGTCTCAGTTTCAGTGGAGCGGATCTTTCCCACCTGGATCTTTGCTGCATCAACTTCAAGGTGGCCAATCTGAGCCGCTGCAACCTGGCCCGTGCCAACCTGTGCTGTGCCAGCCTGGAGAGGGCTGACCTGTCAGGCTCTGTGCTGGATGGAAGAGCTGCTGCAGCTTGGGAGGGCTGGGCTTGTGTTAACAGAGAGGAGCTGGAACAAACAGAGCGGTGTAAAACATCGAGTTCTTAAATATATTCTAGAGTTGTTCTGGTTCCCAAAGCTTTTACACTTCCTCCCAGTAATGATTTAATGGGATTGACTCCCAAAGCAGAAATTAAAACTGTCTTCTTGATTGTCTTTGGTGTTGTTCTTCCGGCTCTCAGTGACTCCTGTCTGTGCCAGTGTGCCAACCTGCCAGGGGTGAAGATGCTGCGCTCCAACGCAGAGGGAGCGTCCCTGAAAGGCTGCAACTCTGAGGACCCATCAGGCCTTCAAGCTAATCTGGAAGGTGAGAAGCTTTTGCCTTGTCAATCTGTGCCAACTGAAGCCTGTGTTTGTCGATTTCCATGGCCCAGAAAAGGTCCAGCTGTGGTTTGTCCAACCCTGAGAAGGGCCCACAAGGGCTGCACTGAGTCTGTGACCATCTCAGCCCCAAATCCCCTTGTCCTCCTCCAATTCACACAGCTCTGAGGCAGCACCAGTGTGCAGCTGCTGTGTTTCTGACTGGTTTTCCTCACAGAACTCCTTTCTGTGTGTGTTCCAGGTGCCAACCTGAAAGGAGTGGCCATGGAGGGCAGTCAGATGACAGGAATGAACCTCCGAGTTGCAACGCTGAGAAATGCCAAACTAAAGAACTGAAACCTCAGGGGAGCAACGTTGGCAGGAACTGATTTGGAAGTGAGTTGGGATTCATTTTCCATCCTATTCCTTTCTATCCTATAGTCAGCTGGTAATTGGGGGGATTGGTGGCTTTTGGCTGACCTCTCCAGCTTCAGAGTACAATGGAGTTCAGGTAAATGGACTTCCAGTAAAGCTTTGAACAGAGTTCTGGGTGCATTCCATTGACACTTCTTCTTCTTTTCCCCTTCAGAATTGTGACCCAGCAGGTTGTGACCTCCAGGAAGCCAATTTGAGGGGCTCTGATGTGAAAGGAGCCATCTTTGAAGAGATGCTGACCCCCCTGCACATGTCCCAGAGCTTCAGATAGGGAAGAGAAAACGTCGGAGAGGAAGGAATCCAAACATTTGTTGTGACTCTCTTCACCTCCTCCCCTTCCTGAGTTAGAAGGAATGGTTATTAGACAACTTCCATTTGCAGTAGTGCCTAAGTAGACTCTTTCTGATCACTTTTGGGGAGGGAATTTTTGTTTCAGAGGTGGAGAGACAGAGTTTCTCCCTTTCTGAAGAGTGAGGAAGTGGGCTGGTTGTGAAACCAGAAAGTGGGGCTGGTTTGGGGGGGAGGGTTCAAGACTTTCATTGTTTAGCATTGCCTGACTTTGGAATGCATTTTAATTTCTAAAGCACAATATATGCAATTCTATTTGTTAGGTCTGTAGCTGCAATATGAATAGAAAATGTTATTGCTGTATAGTAGCAAAGAAAGTGGAGGTTTCCAGGTAGACAAGTGTCTTTACAGTCAGTGTCTTCATTCCAGCTGGGTGTTAATGCCAGGGGTGGTCACACAGTGCCCACAGGATGTGTTCAGGTCTCTGCCGGGGTGGAAACAGTGGGGAACTGTCCTCAGAGGTCCTAAATTGCTGTGGAGTAGTTGGAGTGTAGGTTTAGAGCAGCTTTATCCCCTCAAATGTGCAGAGGAAGCTGCTGCCCCTGCAGGGACCTGCCCAGAGCCCGGATTGAGTTCCCGCTTGGAGATCCCTGGGCAGAAATGGGATGTCTTAGTTAATGCTCTCCAAAGGAGTGTGAAATTGCACTCTCAATCCCAGCTGGGAAGAAAAATTCCCCTGCTTCCACATGTCCTGGCCACTCCAGACTGGAGTTCCTGTAGCTTTTTCCTTCTTTGTTGGGAATTCAATGGACAGAGGAAAGCACAGAAGTGTCCCCAAAACAGAGAGAAGTTCTGGGGCCACAGCACCTGCTCTCCCCCCTTATCTCATCCCTTCAGCAGATGAAGAAATGTTTTCCCTCAATGTACTGTGGAAATAGTCCCTGAAAGCATGGGCATAATCCCATTTGCCAGCCAGATCCACTTTGGGCTGCCTAAAGTGGTTGTAAAAGCATCTTGCCTGGGGCCAAGTGCCCCTTCCACACTTGCTTCATCTGTCTCAGTGTTTGTGATCTTGGGAATCCTCATGAACCTGGAACAATGCCAGATTATCTGTTGTCTTAAGATATGTACCTGGGGATTGTTTTGACCTGTGTTTAAATCTTCCTTGCAAATACAACTGATAGAAAACAATGTAAAAAAAAAAAAAG